TCAGTAATGTTTTTCATACTCTTGAAAGCTAGTAAGAATTTTAAAAGCTAATTATACCATTGATCTAATTTATACAATTACTAAATGTTATTTACTAAATGTTAATTTACATCTTCTATCGTTTTAATAAGAACATTCTTTTGTTAACATTTTCAGCTGTCAGCGCTATCAACACTCCTTGGATAAAAGGTTGTCAGTCTCAATTTTGTATGCAATAAAAGATAACACAATATAGCAGAATCATTGGTTACAGAGTACGTCTGATATCGCTTTACTATCACCTTTGCCTTCTACACCATATTTATGCATGATTTTATTTTTCATTTACGTTCTACACGTTATCGATCCTTCGACATTAATTGTTTCGATCACAGTTTCCTGAAATTTGCAACGTTTCAGACGATGGATAGCTGTAAGACAGAAGAAATTGCTTCTAAGAGTAATACCATACCGAAAAAGTGGCAGACGGCTTTAATACAGTGGTTAGAATCTGAAAATAAAATTGATAATAATATAATTTTATGATAAAATGGAACACTAAAAATAATGAAAAATATGATGTTAATAAAATTATGGTTGATTTGGCCTCATGATCTTTTTTTTCTGTATGATGCTAATAATAGACAGAAACACAACTCCGCATTTGTGAGGGCTCGATTACCACATGTTAGATAACAAACATATGCGCTAGGAACAACAAGGTATTTATAAATATTACACACAAACACAATGATCATCAACAACGTGTTTATAAATATTACATTTTGTTGTGTACACTGACCTGAAATCTGGAATTTTTATCTGATTATAGACATCATCAACGTGCTTGTTTATAAAATTATACATGTATGTGTGTGCGTCTGTGTGTCTTACACCCACGCCCCCTCCAAAAAAAACATATAAGAAATATCTAAATGGAGAGCTGGCATACCCAATGGAGACGTAGACAACGTGCGTCTCATTACTAACGGAAATAACCTGAATCGGCATCCCTCCGGGACCGCATGTAGTTCATATGATACGTTATAAAGCGACATTACTTGTATAGTGTCACAGTTTGCATGTCTGTTTATCAAAAGTTCCGTCAAAGGATTTTATATAAATTACATTATGTTATTTTATTTGAGTTACGATATGTTGGATGGACCACTTCATCTGAATGCTAATTACATTAAGGTAATTAAATTTTCACCTGACCGAGGTACATCGAATGATGTTTTAAGCAATTGTAGGAAAGGTAATTGCTTTGATGGACTTTTTATTACCCTAATAAATTCTTGCCAAAGGGAAGTTTTAATTCGGACCTAGTCTCTTGCTGATTGCATGCAATCTCAAAAGTGATCAAAGGAAAATACCTTTGAAATTGTTCTGGAATCTGACTCGTGTAATGTGTATTGGCATCCATCGCCTGTGGAACATTGTCCGACTGCGGGGAGAAAGCTTACCTTTATCAGACCATATTGCTTTTGAAACTTTAAACGTTTTCTGTCATTTTTAATAAGTTGATTTGTATCACTCAAAAATAATGGGACTTTTGAAACAGGAAATGGCAGAGAGAGGGGGGAGCGCGCATAGGGAAATGTAAGAGAAAATGCCTAACTGCATCTTTAATGAAAATATGACATCACACACACACACACACAGAAGTTCCAGTTTTATTAACTCTACAGATCACTTTCTGAACTTAAAATATTATTAAATTGCATCAACTGGTAAACACAAACATACCGTTTGTACATCACTGTCTCTTTGGGTCACGTGTGCTTGGAAAGTACAAACTGTGTACGTTTCATCGGGACAGCTCAAAACAAAAACACTACAAATATTAATCCCACTAGAAACACTCTTCCGGTTTTTTTTTTCTTTTAACGACGTGCACACCATTTTATCTGTAAATTTAAAGTGCTAATGAAAATATAATAAAATAAGGTTTAGTTTGCATAGATGGAACTTCTTCTGCATGTATGTCATGTAAAAATGTTGTCATAATTTCATTAAATTTCTCAGGTTAGTTAAATACCGTAAAAAAAACAAATACATTTCGAAATCATTCCTAGCATTAATTAATGTAGACGAATCGACCAGAAGAAAATAAAGCGTTAAATATCCTATACTATTCATTATAAAAATCAGAATTTCATTTTCAGGCTTAATAAACTACTCGTGTTAAAATATGTTGTTTTACCTATCCTATACTTTTCATTATTAAACTAGTTTTATTTTATGCTTAATAGACAAACTCATGTTAAAATATAATATATTCTACCTGCCTTGTACCTTTTTAGTATTAAATTTGGAGTTATATGTCATGCTTCATAGACAGGGTCTTGTTAAATACATAGTCTATCTGCAGGAGTATATTTATATTGTTATTGTTTCAAAAAATAAGAAAGCCAGATGTGATTACACGCAATACTAAGATATCCTATTCCTCCCTAACGCCATGCATACAATCTCTCTCTCTCTCTCTCTCTCTCTCTCTCTCTCTCTCTCTCTCTCTCTCTCTCTCTCTCTCTCTCTCTCTCTCTCTCTCTCTCTCTCTCTCTCTCTCTCTCTCTCTCTCTCTCTCTCTCTCTCTCTCTCTCTCTCTCTCTCCTAACATGCAGTTCCTTTCAAACGCTCGTTTCCGCCCTTTCACAAGTTATCTACAAAAACTGTTCTTTTAAATTGTGTAGACAAAGTGTGTGTGTGTGTATATATATATATATATATATATATATATATATATATATATATATATATATATATATATATATATATATATATATATATACACACACACACACAGGGTAATACATTAGTGATACTAGTTTACAAGCACATTAGAGTAAGTCGTCAGTAATACTTTTTGCTTCTGCGTCATAACATGGTGCATAAGTCTTTCTTACAAACCCCAGACATCAATGTACATAATAATTTGGTAAGTATTTATTAAGGTGTATTTTGTAAAACATTATAGAGTTTCTTTTTGTAGTTTAAAGATAACCCCTTTCCAAAACAGTAATTCGTGATTGCATTTATTGATGGAAGCTCATCTCCGTTTTAGCTTTCAACGTTTGAAATTCGATCTTTCTCTATTATTCTTCCATCTGTGCTGAATGTCGGACAACATTAACGCCTGTTACAATTCCTGCGGAAAATGTACGGTCTACTCTTGTTGTTTTAACCTTCGCGATATTTTACTTCAGTATGTAGAGGAGTATGGCCTTTGATGATTTAATTCAATAAAATCACGTGGGGAGACACAAAAGGAAAGGATGCACGTAAACCGTAACGTGAATGTCTTTGGATCCTAATTTATTTTGTCGCCGGGACTTATTATGCCACATGTTCCATGTTTGATGCAGCTAGGAGGCGCTAGAGCGTGGTGTTTAGCTTTTGTCCTTAGCAAATGCTCATTTGAATGAAAATAAATAAAGTTCATATAGTCCTTATACCAAACGTTCTGACAGCGGTACTGCGAACAATGGCTTGATTGAGACCACGGTTTTGGTACAACGCCTTACCTGCAACGATACAGTGCTACGAGTATGAAAATGGAACTTGCACTTTACTCACCTATCGCTGAAGAGAGAGAGAGAGAGAGAGAGAGAGAGAGAGAGAGAGAGAGAGAGAGAGAGAGAGAGAGAGAGAGAGAGAGAGAGAGAGAGAGAGAGAGAGAGAGAGAGAGAGAGAGATTGGTTCTTTCTTTCAGAAAGCATGGATCGCGACCAAAAAAATTATTTCAGAAAGCATGGATCGCGATAAAAATTGTAAAAAGAAATAAAATCCAAAGCCCATAGTAAACATACACCATGTGGGAGAGTTATGTGGTGGAGTGTTCAGCTGTGTTCCTCTGGTGACCAAACTATCAAAAACTGCCTTGAATGAAGTCTATTTAGCAAAGAGAAGCTGATACAGTACAGTTCATCATATGTACTTGCAATTGCTCGGACTATTGCACATGTGTAACCTTAGATGTGCCAGGGAGTCTGATATGAAACTCTGTCGCGCAATTCTTCGTCTGGTAAAAAATAAGTACAATTTTACAAAGTAGACCAGAGAACTATTGAGGCCTTTAGTCACTACTATGACAACAAAAAGAAGCCCCCAAACCAGACGTTTTATGAAATCATTTTAAGTTACAACATTCGCCCTAAAAGTATTAATGGATTTGCAGGGATTGCCGTTAGTTAGCGGAGCAATTCAAAGCGGAAAACTGTTGTTAATTGGTTAATAATCGTTCTTTTAGTACATCAGTATCTACATCATGCCGATGAAATTGGAGCTTGTCTTTCTCCCAGAGACGCAAAGACAGCCGAACTAAGCTAGTCTGTACGAGTATCAAATCAGCAGCCATAGAACTATCCACTGACGCTCTTTTAACCGAACAGCCGCTAATACTATTATATCAAATCACTAGCCCGATTAAATCACAAAGTGATTTGATACGGCAATATGTTTTATTATAATTATTCATTACTGTAGCACATTTCAGTCTAAAAAAGCTTCTGGGACTAAGGCGTGCACATGTCTGTTCTATCGGCATATTTGATAGCTGCGCAAATAAAAAGGCAGCATACATAGACGTAAACACTACCAAATATCGTGGTACGAGAGGTAGCCGAGATTTTAAATGTGTAGTTTCAAGAGCAACTTTGAATGCAGTCAAGTAAAATCCACCAGGCAGGACAAGCATTATGAAATATTGGACCTGACCAAGTGAATGTTTCTTTTACTATTACGGACTATAAATTCATTTAATGAAAATTAATACATTTGATTTCAAATATAGTCTTCAGAGTGTGTTTTTCTTTGTGTTATAAAAAATAATGAAGCTGAGACAGACCCTGACTTGAACTATGCTATAACCATGTTTGGTTTTTCAGGCAGTTTATACCACCCAAATCCCTTTTGTAAACTTTTCAACTGCTTCTCTCCTCTCACAAAATGCTGACGTTCCCATCGTATGGCAATCCTAAGGGTATGCATGCGACTCGTTTGTGTCCATAAATCTGACCGCTCCGGTGGCCCAGTGGTTAGATCGTCCGCCTCTGATGCGTGAGGTTGTGGGTTCAATCCCCGGCCGAATCATACCAAAGACTTACAAAAATGGTACTAACAGCTACCTAGCTTGGCGCTCATCATTAAGAGATTAGTGTTAGGACTGTTCAGCCTCTTGTAAGGATTATGTGACTGGGTGTGACATCATGCTACATGTCTGAGGCATGATGCCCAGTGCTATAAACTGCCACACTACAGATATCGTAGCGATATGACTCCACACTGCAGATATCGTAGCGATATGACTGAAACATTGTTAAAGCTACGTTAAAAATCCAAATTACACACACGCAACAGACAGAGAGAGTTAAATCATTTATCAAGGATACTTCTCGGCAAGGTGTTTGACCACAAAAAGGAAGGATGCCTGGCGGTTAGGTGTTTGACATCAAGGAACGATACTAATCAGAATGGTATTTGGCCTCAAGGTAGGATACTAGGCGGCAAGGTGTTTGACCTCAAGGAAGGATACTGGGCAGCAGGGTGTTTGACCTCAAGGAAAGATATTAGGCGGCAAGGTGTTTGACCTTAAGGAAGATTACTAGGCGGCAAGGTGTTTGACCTCAAGGAAAAATACTGGGCAGCAGGGTGTTTGGCCTCAAAGAAGGATACTAGGCGGCAAGGTGTTTGACCTCAAGGAAGGATACTAGGCGGCAACGTGTTCGACCTCAAGAAAGGATACCGGGAAGCAGGGTGTTTGACCTCAAGGAAGGATACTAGGCAGCAGGGTGTTTGACCTCAAGGAAGGATACTAGGCAGCAGGGTGTTTGACCTCAAGGAAGGATACTAGGCAGCAGGGTGTTTGACCTCAAGGGAGGATACTGGGCAGCAAGGTGTTTGGCCTCATATTTTGCCTCGTTTATATTAAATATCGCATGTAACATCTGATTATTTATATGATGCTTTTGTTTATTATTATTTTAAAACAGAATGATAAACTTTGGCATAACGACCTAAACTATCCGAGTGGTCTGTAATTTTGTATTTGGCGGCGATGACAACAAAAGATCAGTTCTTTTACATTGACGTTATACTCTTATCTCCTTTTGGTTGGTTGGTTAATTTTGGGGGTGTTGTGTGTTTGACTTTAAGGAACGATACTAATGTGCGGTGGTTGGTTGGTGTGGAACGGCACGTCAATACATGCAAGATTCATGCAGGCAATTTCAGTAAAGTGTTTTTGCCCGTGGATACGCTTTGATAGTAAACTAACGGTAGTAAAAGATTGCAAAGAGTCCAAAGGGATGAAGAGAAGAGGAGAAAAGACGACGAGTAAAAGCGTCCGCCACAGAAAACAAGTAAATAGAACGCTTATCAAAAGAGAGGTTCAAGAATCTATAGACCCTATACCTTATATATCATTCGTCAATTTTAAAATATACCTATCTCAAAAAAAGGAATAATTTTCAATTACGTTTATTATTGATTAACATATCACCCAAATGCCCTGTCTCAAAACACTATAACCCTTCCATCAATATTACCAGTAACACGAATACAAATAATAACGAACAGAATTTTAAAAAAAATTAAGACGGCGGATAGTCCCGATTGATACGATGATAAAACATCTCTTTATTGTTCCTCTAATTACTATCTTCAGATTTCAAAAGAACAAAATTTAACTTGACACACATAAGCACAGCATGCAGGGTGATTAGCACTAAGGTGCTATTAAGTGTTTCACTATGCAGCTTTAAAGCAAAGACGCGCTATCTAACATTTCTTATAATTTAAGAATCACCTTTTGCAAGTCCCATAACAATGCATTTTCCGCCACACTCAAGCACAACACTGAACAACTCTAAGACTAAATACGGGTGAAATTAATGTGCATTTGTATAAATTCGACATTTCACACTTAATACTTCATTTTATAATGCAGATTAAATCTCAGATTTCGCACCGTCTTTAATTTTCTTTTGTCTGATTCCGTGTTTTGTTTCGGTCCATCAGCCTAGCTCGTCTTTTAGGATACTAAGCAGAAGGTGGAGGCATGACAATGACTACACAAAAGCGCTCAAGATGTCCTGGAGGAAACAAAAAAAGGAAACTTTTTGATGTTATTTAAATTTGAAAAGAAAATACAATGCACCGAACCTATGCAGTATGTAGCATTCATAGTGAAGTTAATATTTATTTAGCTTTTCACCTGGCCGTGTGCTGGTGGTGTTCGTCAGTAAAATCCAACAAGAAAACCCCGCCAATTGACACATTACATACATATTTTCCAGCCGATTTGGGGATTACGATTATTTCAGTGATAAGGATGTAATAAGCTATAAAAGTTAAAAATGTAATATTAGACACTTAACATTTACCGTTGTAAGCAAAGTAAGTTGGTTATTTTGTCTGCCTTACTCGCTCATTTTTGTCTGCGATAATTGTTCACTCCTACCTGTCGTTTTTTCATACTTGTATTTTTTTCAACAGACGAATTTTCATGATGGAATATCGTTTACAATTTATAAGCTTTTCGAAGATTTCACATAGTTTTCATGGAATAAACGGCTATCCTAAGCCCCGCTCCTACCCCCAATCCTGTCCCCGACCCCATCATGTTGTACGAAGTTTATATCAAGTTTAAATCTTTCTCTTTCAACAGAAACAGAGAATGATAAAAAATCAAATCGTGACATTTATGTCATACGATTCTCGTTGTGTTATAAATTAATTGTTGATATAGTCATGGTGGGTGGTTTGAGCAATAGACTCGCGACCAGATGGATACAGGTTCGAATACTAATTAGTCCAGCATTATAAGCCACTGTCATGTTTCTCTCGGCAATGTACAATTATCTAAGCAGGATTTAACCATCATGTGTTGACTTGCGATTAAAAAATAAACAAACAAACCAAAAAAACTAATAGACCAGTAAATCTTTGACAAAATATTTTCTGACGAGCGATATTCTTTTCGGCTTTGAAGTTTAAAGCGGACTCATTTCTTTTGAAAACGATATTAAAATGAATGAATCAGTAATTTATTCATTCAAAAGAAACCACAGTAAACCCATAAATTTAAATCCTATGGACATATGAAGATGGACAAGTCTATCTCAATTCTCCGGACACGTTTTCCCTGTATTTTTGAGTTAGAATCGTTGGCTGTTATATTATTTTGATGGGGTATTTATGGGGAGAGGGGGTACCTTCGGCGCTGACACAAATATTGTATGCGTATTTTTCGTAATATATTTTACATCCAAGTATTCCATTTCTATCTCAATCAGATTTTTTTTTTCTTATCTACTCAACGGTCAGCTCAGAGATGTCGCTCCGAATTTCTTTCGGAACGAATATTCCCTGTCTTTAGAGGAGGATGACGGAGAATTTTGTCATTGGCAAACAGCATAGAGCCAACAATTCATAATCACGTACTTTCTAAAGGCGCTCTAAATAAAATCGGAATAAACCTCTATACATCTGACTGTGGTCATTTGTAATTCAAAGTTAGGAAATGGCATGCAACTGTCTCCTACTTAGAATCCTCCTATGCTTTGCCGTAAAATATATTCATACATTCCTCTTTGTTTCTCGAAACATTATAGTTCAAGTAAGAAACTCCTGACAGCGCGAGCACTCTGTTCGCATTATTATATTTTCATAACTTCAGATGGTAAACTAGCGACTTGCCCCGATAGATATACTGCAAGTATTAGAACTTTTTTTTTTTTTTGTTTTGCGACATTTGGATAGTACCCTAAAATCACAACGATAAGCGTTACATCATTGCATGTGATATAGTTGAACAGTGATTTTAGTTCCTCGGCTTTTGTAAAAGACACAGTTTGGAAGCAGCCATTGCTTCCAGTGTTGGAAACTTATTCCTGCAGAAACGTGAACATAAAGTTTATAACCAGAATAGTGACTAGCGCTTTTGCGAATTGTACCATGAAAGGAATAAAACTGACTGACGTTTTGCGACTCTTACCACAGAAGGAATAGTAGTGACTGGTGTGCAATGAAATACTAGGTTTCAATTTCAGTAATGGAAAGATGGTATTATAATAAGTATAGAAACATTTAATCCAAGTTAACCAGTACCTGAAAAGAAGAACCAGAAAGAAGGTTCAACGTTCGGAATCACTGATAGTAAGAACAAATGATGTCATGATCACGTTCCATGAACAAAAACAGAAACATAACCAGCATCTTCATGACAAATGTCACATTTCTATGTATCAAAATCCATCAATACGGAAACTTAACCAGCATCTTATTAACAAGTGTCACATTTTTCTGTATCAAAATCCATCAATACGGAAACATAACCAGCATCTTAATAACAAGTGTCACATTTCTATGTATCAAAATCCATCAATACGGAAACATAACCAGCATCTTAATAACAAGTGTCATATTTCTCTGTATCAAAATCCATCAATACGAAAACATAACCAGCATCTTTATTACCAATGTCACACTTTTCTGTATCAAAATCCACGAATACAAGCAGAAATATAACCAGCATCTTTATGACAGGTGTCACACTTCTCTCACTTCTCTGAAGCATGGTCCATGAAAAGGTATTACCAAATAGAAACAAAGCCAGCATCTTCATGACAAATGTCACACTTATCCGTATCAAAATCCATGAATACAAAACCATGACAAATGTCACACTTGTCCGTATCAAAATCCATGAATACAAAACAGTGTCTTCATGACAAATGTCTCACTTGTCCGTATCAAAATCCACGAATATAAAACAGTGTCTTCATGACAAATGTCACACTTGTCTGAATCAAACGTCAACGTGAAGAGCATTAGAACGAATTTTTCTATATGTATATGTTGACATTTGTACAGGAAAAGGTTTTACCAAATATGAAGAAAATTCGCGCGCGCGTGTGTGTGTGCGTGTGTGTGTGTCCTGATAGATTTACTAATTTTTTAAAAAAGAATGAATGAAAAGTTATCGACATTTGTGTTAATTTATATGGCACTATGATCACTCTTCTGACTTATAACGAAAGCGTTTTTATCTTCTTTGATTTATTCTTTTGCAAGAAAGGATTCAGTTATCT